ATTGAACTAACTCTGAATTTTGGACTAGCTCCAATACATAGTAGCTCTTGATTCCTAAAGATGGTCATAAGATAGAAGAAAGATCTGGTATAAATCCAAATGCAATAGAGCTCATGAATTGAAGGAACATTGATAAAATGAAATTTGAACTTACTCTCTAGCTCTTTGGAATTGTTCATCTAGACCCATTATATATAATGTATCAAGAGAGTCTATAAGAGTTGCTCCAAGCCCACCAAAGCTATTGACACCAGTCTTTGTTTGTGGCTAACAACCAATAACACAAACCAACACGAAAAAGTTACCCCTCAGTTACAAAAGATCATAAACAAAATAAATAAGACCACTTTCTAAAAATAAGCCACAATACCACCAATCCAAATTCACAAAGAAAAGATACATACATCTATATACATATAGATTATGTGTGTGTTTTTGCGTAGATCACATGCATCTAGCTCAGGAATTAATATTAAATTTAAACCAGACTTAATGCCTAATTCAGTTATTGGACAAGTATATAACAAATGCAAAACTGCAAAGTTGAGGCCTTACATGAATAATCTAAACAATCACAAAAATATAATGAACTACAGGCAATAAGGACCATCATTTAAAGTTCTAAGGATTGTTGCCCAATTTATTGCTACACATCTACCAGATAATACAAAAAGAGTAAAGCTAAACATTAGTAATACGGACATTATATACACAAAGAAGGATTTGACAAACCTGAAGTTCATCTTGGCCCCAAGCATACTTCTCATATGAACTCCATGCATGAAGCATTGCTTCTCTCACTTTCTCCCTTCGTTGCCTATCAATGGGATCATCCGAGACGTTTTCATGCTTGCTAGATTTTCCACCAATGTCAATCTTCCCAACTATATCCCCATGAATGCTCTTTAATTCTTCCAGCTGAAAGGACCAAAAGCATTTAAATGCAAATATACTAACCCTTGCATACAATGTTTGAAAAGGTCAACTCTTATTTCAAAGAATATACTGTAGATAGTAACCCATATGCTTTATAGAAAAATATATCTTTATACACATATACACACACTGTCTTCTGCTAATAATTTCATAAGCGAATTAACAATATTGAAACCAAAGAACATATTCAAGCCTAAAATGATGTTCCAGAAAATTAAATTGGCTTCAATGCTAAAGATATGTTTGGAAAATAAAATATTTTTGTGGAATGCATTTGAAATCATTACTTAATGCTAGTAGGAGAATCCTATTTAACGATAATGAAAGTTGACATGATAAAAAAATCAAGTGGAGTTTATGAGACCTTATCAGTTAGTTCAAGTTAGGAAAACGGTGATATTAACCAGGTGTATTCATAGAGGAAGAAGAAAACATAAAGAAGGAACTAAGTAGTTTGTTAAACTGTTTTATGCAACCATTTTCCATATTAGCCTTGCTCTGTTTCAATTTTCTGTGTTGCCAAGGAAAAAGTTAGTATTTTTTGTTGTTTTTCTACCATTGGTTAAGTTGGCAGTAAATATGAATTTGGATGTCTATAACTGCTACGATCTAGGATAAGGCAGTTAATAAATCTTGAGTTTGTAATAAGAATTGTTTTGCATAAATGAAATCAATCACCGGATAATTTAGAGAATAACAATTCTCTAGTACCCTCTTACTCTTAGAGATCGATAGTTTCTTTCTTAACAAACTCATACTATTAATCAAAATCCCATAACAAGATCCTTAGCAGGGACTATTTTTGGTACAAACACGTGCTATTATGGATGATCTACAATCTCTCCAGCAAGTAATGAATCATCTTGAGTGAGAGCATGACATCACTGTTCTCAATTCAATCAACAGCATATGAGCCTTTCCTCAAATTGTATTAAGTAAAACAAGCTGAAGAGGGGATAGAGCATGACCATGACAGGACAGAAATGGCACATGACTGAGCTGCTATGGAGTCTCAGCTCCAAGAACTAACCAACCAAGTATATGCAGTTAAACATGTTTTCTCTGGATCTGAAGTGAGAAACATGATCAAGGTGATGCAATGTAAGTTGAGAATATTGAGAGCACCTTTACGATGCTGCTGACAGAGGTCTGTTTGTTCTTAGTGTCTCACCAGTACCATGTCTCTCTATGAGCGAATGGGAGATTGAGGCCAGCAAGAGTCTTACGATTTGCGTCAACTGGTGAGTCGCAATTCAATAACCAATCTTAACCACTTCTTGATGAGAAATGGTGAATAACAAGCTGGAAAAAGGGAAACATATTAAAAGATCAATTACAACCAATCTGGTTGTAATTGATTGGTTATTGAATTACAACCAGATGTGGTTACTCCTAGTATTTGATACAACCAATCTTCCAGAACAATGTAACTGGAGGGACCAATTGCCAATAGTATCTTCTTGTTTGAATCAAGCCCGCTTTGGGTTTTACAGTGGCACATAATTTATTTGGTCAATGCCTAACTGCCTTGACATGCAAGTCACTGATGGGGTGAGGATACATGGCCAGGGGATATATGCTACCTGATGTCAATGTTAATGGCTCTAGGTGTCTCTATTCAATGGGCTTTAATACAAAAAGCAAGCAGCAAGTGGCATTATATGGAATAAGAGGAACTAAATGGGGTTGACTAAGAGACTTTCTACCAAAGCACAAATGGTGGGAAAGAAAAGAAGAATTGCAGCTGTCTTGTCAACCATTTTACCCCAGCATTTGGCTCCTAGACATTCATGCGATCATCAGATTTTGCACTTACCTTACCTTTGCTAAATCAAGGAATTCATTACTACAAAACAAGCTTAAATGGATTCACACATCAGAAGACAAGTTGCATTAGGACAAACATCCATTGGAGGAAGAGAGTGATATTACGAGCACCAATCAGTCAGGTCAAGATATGAAAATAGTGCTTTTAACTAGGTGTATCAGCAAAGGAAGAAGAACTGAGTAGTTCTTCATCTGTTTTATGCATATGTATTCCATGTTATCACTGGCTCTGCTTTTACACTCTCTGCTCTTAAAAAAAAAGAAAAGAAAAGAAAAGTAATGCATTGATTTTTTCTTGCCACTTGTTGACAGTTTATAGGATTAAGTCTATAACTGTTGTTGTCTAGGATAAGGTAATTACACAACCAATATGGTCAGCTTATAGTAAAAACAAATGTTATTTTGCAGAAATGAAAGGAACTGGAGAAGAATTTAGAAAAGAAAAAGTAGTTGCATACTTTCTTAGTTTTGGAAGTTGATGGTTCTCTCTTAAAGAATCCACTCCGTAAATCAAAATCCCATAACAAGCTACTAGTAGGGGGCAGAATATGAAATGTTCTAAGATGTTAACTTTTATCATTTTAAATGAAATTTTCACCAAGTCCTAATTAAATTAATTGTGGATTTCCAAATGAATGGCACGACTAAAATCCATATGTACAACCACCTCCTAGAAAAGGATAACCAAAAAACTTTGTGCATAAGAAAGTTCAAGCTTTAAAGAAACCAGGGATCTCTTACCACATGTTGCAGTCTGATCACTTCTTCATTTAACTTTGAAACTTCCACCTGCAAGTTAGTAAAGTTAGTAATGAACCAACATATAAAGAAAATAAGCTCTTGTTTAGAAAATTTTAAAAAAAAATCATTTATTGTTTTAGAAACATGATAAAAACAATATCGTTTTCCCGTTAAACTAGCAAATGTCTGTACCATTAAATTTAGCTGCTAAACTTAATAATAACAAAAAAAAAAATTATTCAATCATAAAATGATAATACATTTTAAAGAAAAAGAAGTATTAGAAAGGTAGGGAAAGAGATTAGATCAATGAAGTATCTTCTTCTGCTGTATAGCATATAATGCTCTTTCCAACTCTTCTAAGCAAGTTATCAGGGATAATCTTTCTCATTATTTTCCTCAAGTTCACCGATTTCGGCAAAGAACACTTGGAGCAAGTAGGGACAACAATGATTTAAGGACCTATTAAAACTAAAATAAAAAATTGGTAATTAGACAAATTGACAACTTGGTACAAGGTTTGCTTATTCTTTTTATCCTTTTCGTAGTCAAATTTTTATAGGCATCTCAATTGAAGGAATTCTCTTCGAAGGTCTATTCAATTAGCTATCTTTTTCAAGATCTCAGCATCAGCCTATCTAAACACTATGGAATATGAGATTGGCAGTGGGGGAAAAAACAAGATAGTCCTTTGAAGGGTTGAAAAACCAATTAATGGTCCCCACTCCATTCTCTAAAAAAATAAATAAATAAAATAAAAACTTCAACAGGAAAATACCAAATATCGAACAAACAAAGGATCAAGTGGGTGTCACTCTTGTACAAAAAGAGAAAATCACAATTCAATCAAAATATCTATGAGGCACTCCAGATTCATTCAAAATCTTTAATATTGTGCAAAACTTTGACAAGCGACAAATAATTCCCCACAAGCTTGTAGGTGAATCAATCAGGACTTGTTATTTGCCCAATTAGTACTCAGACCTCCCAAATAGTTTTTCAGGGGTGCCATATCCAATATAGCTTGGATCTTCTGAGGGTTTCTATACGACCTTAGCCCACATCTTTCCCAATGAACCACCCCCCAACAAAACCAAAGAAAGTATCTAAGGCTTATGGGAAAATAAAAACAAGCAAAGATTTCTATTAAATTTTTAGAAGGTCAAAGATATGGAAAGCTTCCAACATAACTAGGGACATTAAGGTGCCCCAAAAAATTCGCGTCCCAAAGAGAACTAATGGTTCTTCGCCTGATTTTGTAAGACATATTTGCTTCAACATGGGCAAGATGCAAGATGCCAACTGCTAGGAGCATCGGTGGCATGGTGATTCCTCTTCAAAAACATTGTTTCTAGACTCTTTAGGATTTCTAGCTTTATTGAAGCTGCTATCAGGCGTTGCTTTTGAAGGCACCAAGGGAGATTCTATGGGATGTCTAGCAGATTCACAACCTATAACCGGGAGCTTAACAGCTTGACTAACCTCCCCATATGCTTCGGGAGAAGTCAAGTCCAACCCAATGTAGTAGTTTAGCCATTGGAGTGTTTCAGTAGGAATTGTGAGGAAAAAAGGTAAGTGATAAAATAATAATCCAAGAACCTAATTCATGAAAGTAAAGAGAGAAATTCCCTACTTGAATTCTATTAAGTGAATGAAAACTAGAAATACAATGAGAAACCCTTCAACTTATATAGTAAAGAATCATAAATAATAAATAGTATTAGTGCTTGAAAAGAAAACCTAACCCTTAAAAAATAAAAAAATAGAATCGTAGAAACTAAAAACCTAACCCTTTAAAAATAAAAAATAGAATCCTAAAAACTAACACACTTAGATATGTTTTTCAGAGAAAAAAAAACTTAAATATATTAGTTATTTAATCAATAATAATTTCCAATCACAATAGAGGTATAAAATAAGACAACCAATTTAAATAGGAAAAGCAAAACAGAACAAACTAAAATCACAAGAAAACTTTTTAAAAAGAATTATATCCTACTTTATCTTGCAACAGTTCTCCCAGGATTGAGAAATTAGCGCTGAGCTATGGCTCATATTCAGATAGTAGTCTTCAGAAAGAGGGCCCAAGTATCTTCGAGCAATGGGTGCGTTATTTTTTGATAGAAAAGGAGACAGTTTGGAAGAGAAAAGGAGATACGACGAAGGAAATATGTTGAAAGAGAAACAACGATACAGATAAGGAGATATGTTGTAGATTGTGTGAAGGGAAAGGAATACAAGACCAGTAGAGGGTGACTGTTCTTATCTTTCTACAATTGAAGACCTTCGTTTTACAGACTCCTCGATCTATTTTTTGGTTCCAAGGTCATTCTCTTAGTCTTCTAACATGTTATTATAGACACATTCGTAGGGAGTAAATATGGAAAGTGCGGCAAGAGACAAGACAATGGCTAAATAGGATGCTGAAATTCAATTAAACATGAAATCTTAATTAATTTTGAATTCCTATATAATAGGATACTGAAGTTCAATTAAACATAAAATAATAGTTAGTATTTGATTCCTAAATAGTAGATGATTTTTCATTAGTATTGGATTTCTAAATAGAATAGAATTTCTAATATTTTAATTGAATATTCCTAATTAGTAGAAATATTCTACTAAAATATTTAAAATCATATACTATTTAGAAATCCAATACTAACGGAAAACCATATACTATTTAAGAATTTAATATTAATTAGGATTCAATATTTAATTAAATTTCAACCTCCTATTATTCAGAAATTCAATACTAATTAGGATTCCATGTTTAATTGAACTTTAACCTCCTATTTAGTCGTTGTCTTGCCTCTTGCCACTCTTTCCATATTTACGCCCTACAAATGTGTCCATAACATGACTCTCCCCTTATCTTCAAGTTTGTTCTCAAACTTGAAATGTGAATGTAGTTGACTCGCCGGTCTTTTCTTGTTGCTCAGGACCAGTGTTGCATTCAATCTCAAGATAGAACAAACACTTACATTGATGAGTCACAACAAACAGCTCATTGCAATTATAACACAATCCCTTCAGTCTCCTTTCTGTCATCTTTGCCCTTATTAGCTTCTTTATAAATGAAGAGAAAGAGTTACCAAATTGTGTCGTAACATTACTGGTTTGTGGAGACGATGTTTTCTGAACTAAATTGTTAAGTTTGGTCATGAATCGAAACGGTTCACTATAACTGTGTACCCTCATAACTCACAACTACCTTTTCCTTTCAAAAACTTTGTCCATGCTCATTGTGTGCACAAAAGTGGTACGTGATTGTATCTCGACCTTTAATTGGAAAGAATTGATCAGTCCTACTATGAACAAATCGACTTGCTGATCACGAATTATCATAGAGGTCTCGGGCTAGCAGTCTTTGAAACTGACACTGATACTCATCAACCGAACATGTTTGTTTAAGGTTGACTAATTCGCCCAATGGGTAGCTTTGTAGGAGGGGTTCAAACTGTATAGTGTAATACTCCACAAACATTTTCCATGTCACTTCTACCTCTTCCTGCTATATCTTATAGTATCAAAGTTAGGTTTCTTCTAATATGTGAAAAGTTGTTAGACTAATCTTGTTAGAGGCAGCAATCCACTGATTAGCAACAAATTGCTCGCATTGATGGAGTCATATCAAAGTACCTTCTATCCCATCATAGGTGCGAAAGTCCAGCTTGGTGTAGCGTGAGATAATTCCTCTGTTTCTCAGTTCTATGGTTGTAGTGTGCAATTTTAGCCAATTGGATGGTGTGACTGTTATCGAATTTTGTTATGCCCTCTAAATCCTTGTCGCACGACTGGATGGCTATCTGAAGAAGAGTCTCTATTTGCTGAGACAGTTGCCGCAATTTAACATTCATTCAGGCCTTTGATTCAGCTACCAGATTTTTCAATTCCTCACACAATCCTTACTCGTCCATGTTGTATGGTTCTGATACCAAATTGTTACGTTCCCTAATTAAAAATTGAATCACCAGACGATTAACAACAAAGTCATCTTTCAACAAGGGGTTATTGTCCTTATTCTTATTACGTGGGTGACCTATTTTTGTAGTAAAAGATTACAGCTCATTAAAGGGAGTTGCTAGCTTGAACCTCGTTTGAGAGAGCTCTAATATTGTAATTTGAGATAAATTTTGACTTCAACCTCTTATTCTGCCGTTGTCTTACCTCTTGCCGCGCTTCCATCTTTACACCCTACAAAAGTGTTCATATTCCTAAGACTTGTAACCTCCTACTTAGTTCTCTCAAACGAGATTCAAGGTAACAGCTCTCTTTGATAAATTGTAATTGTTTATCACAAAAATAGATTGATCACGTAGTAAGAATAAGAGAGAAATGTTGAGAAAACATTTGTAGAGCGTAAGTAAGGAAGGGGCAGCAAGAGGCAAGACAGGGGCTAAATAAGAGATTAAAGTTCAACTAGATAAGGAATACTAATTATTAATGGATTATGAAATAATAAGATATTGAAGTTTAATTAATTATACAATTCTAATTAGTATTAGATTTCTAAATAGTATATGATTTCCCATTAGTATCGAATTTATAAATCGTATAAAATTTCTAATATTTTAGTAGAATATTCCTAATTAAACTCATATTAGTATACTTAATTAGACTCAAATTAATATTCTTAATTAGATTCAAATTCCTTAAATTTGTAATCTCTACTTAAAGAGGTGTTCTTGCTAATAACAAAACAAGTCAGAATTTACCTCAAACTATGAGATTAGAACTATCTCAAACGAGATCCATGGTAGCAGCTCATTTTGATGAGTAATAATCTATTACCACAAAAAATAGGCCATTCACATAATAAGAATAAACGCATTAACCTCTTGCTTGAAGATGATTTTGCTGTTAGTCTGTTGACTCGATCCTTAACCAAGGAATGTAACAATTTGATATTGGAGCCAGACACTATGGGTGAGCAAGGATTGCGCGAGGAACTGAAAAATCGGATAGCTTAATCAGATGTCTGGATGGATGTTAAGCTACAACAATTGCCCCAACATATTGAGACTTTTCTTTAGATAATCACTCAATCGCATGGCAGGAATTTAGAGGGCGAAACAGAAGCCAACAACAATCATATAATTTAATCCAGTCACACTGACAACCCACCAGAATCGCGCACTACAAGCACAAAGTTGGAAAACAAAGGAATTATCTCACGCTATATGAAACTAGACTTCCAACTATGACGGGACAAAAGATCCTTTGATGTGTCTCCATCGATGCAAGTAATTCTTTACTAATCAGCGGACCATCACCTCCAACAAGGTTAGTATCGCTGCTTTTACATGTTAAGAGAAGCCCAACTTTGGTACTGTAAGTTACAGCAAGAAGAGTCGGACATGGAATGGAAAACATTCATGGAATGTTGCACTCTACGGTTTGGACCGCCCCTACAAAGCAACTCATTGGGCAAATTGGTCAATATTAAGCAAACGGCCTCGATTGAGGAGTATCAACGACAATTTCAGAGACTACTGGCCCGAGCCTCTACAATACGTCATGATCAGCAAATCAAATTGTTCACAGCAAGACTAATCGAATCTCTCGTTTAGAAGTCGAGATGCAATCATCCACCACTCTTGCGCATACAATGAGAATGATCAGATCTTGTGAAAAGAAATAACAGTTGTGGATTATTACCAAACGTAATTATAGTGATTCCTCTCATTCTATGACCAAATCTAACAATTTAACTCAGAAAACACTGACTCCACAGGGCAGTAACGTTACGACACAATCTGATAACACTTCATCTCCATCTATAAAAAAACTAATAATGGTAGAGATAGCATAAATAAGGTTGAAGAGGCTGTGTTATAACTGCGATAAACTGTTTGTTTTAGGTCACCAATGTAAACGGCTGTTCTGCTTTGAAATTGAATGCGAATTTGGTCCTGAGCAACAAGCAAAGACCGACGAATCAACTAAATTAACATTTCAAACTTGAGCACAAGATTAAAGACCAAGGGGGAAGTAATATTATGGACACATTTGTAGTTCGTAAATATGGAATGCGCGACAAGAGGCAAGATAGCGGCTAACTAGAAGGTTGAAATTCAATTAAACATGAAATCTTAATTAGTATTAGATTTTTAAATAATAAGAGGTTGAAGTTCAATTAAATATGAAATTCTAATTAGTATTGTATTTCTAAATACTATATGATTTTTCAATAGTATTAAATTACTAAATAGTATAAAAAATTTTAGTATTTTAATAAAGTATTCCTAATTAAACGAATATTAGTATTCTTAATTAGATTCAGATTTTTAAGACTTGTAATCTCTATTTAAAGAGATATTTTTACTACTAATAAAACAAGTCAGAATTTATCTCAAATTACGAAATTTGAGCTTTTTCAAATAAACTCCAAGGCAACAGCTTCCTTTGATGAATTATAATCTCTTAATATAAAAATAGGCCGCTCATATAGTAAGAACAAGGGCATTAACTCCTTATTGGAAGACAACTTTATTTTTAATCGCTCAATGACTATCCTTAACCAGGGAACATAACACATTCACTAAGATATTTCATAATATTAGGAATATAACTAAGGCTCTATGGTGTCTTATAAGCAAAGTTTTAATATTCATTTACCACGATGTTGCAATGCTGAGAATATAATGTTCATTATCAAGTTACACTTCTTGCTTTCTGCATGGACCTTTTAAATAACTTCACAGTTGCGTAAATCTAAAAAGAGTAAAACTGCACACGAACATCAGCAGTTCTCACTCGACCTACTGGACTATATCCTCCAAATTCAGAAGAATTTTAGTATGATTCCATAGCAGATCACGCTACCAATCATAAAATCTCCAATAATCCAAAAAATTAACTTCCGACTTCACCTATAATCATATTCTGTAAAAATGAAAATCAAGAATTTCTTTCACACCATCAACCATTTGAAAATCCAACTCCAAATCCATTCAAAAGAAAAAAGGAAAATAAAAGAGAGAGAGAGAGAGAGAGAGAGAGAGTATGTGTGTGTGTGTGTGTGTGTGTGCGTCTGTGTGTGTGTGAGAGAGTGAAGAACAAACAGAGAGACAGTCGAAGAGAGAATCTTCCTTCAAATTCATGAATTTATCTGTGATGAGAAAAACAAAACACTCCTAATTCAACCAAAAACAAATATACAAGTCTCTCCAAAACCATTCAAACAAAACATGAAAAATTAAAGAATCATATGCCTGATGATATCTCGTCAACCAATAAAGCACTTCTCAATATTCAGGATTAAACCAAAAAAATTTGTTGTCTAGAAAATTGAACAAAAAATAGAAAACAATAAGAGAGAAACCGAAGTACCTCATGTTCTCTAACGAGCGTTTGGCG